TCATGGCCCTCATGAAGAAGTTTGCTGAGGATGCGCCCTCTTTGGGGCGGGGGCGAGCTCGCGCCCACTTCGACTTCGCGTCATTCTTCAAGGACACCTACGCGATCACCGAGACCGAGCACGACGGCGAAAGCGAGATGATGACCTTCATGGTTTTTGAAGAGCATTGCAGGTCTGCGCGAGGGGGCAGGTTGACTGACCCCGAGATTGCAGCGGAGTGGGCCAGGCTGACGAAGGATAGGAAGGCACCAACTATACACCAACACCGATCCTGGCCAGGATCACCCTGGACCCAGGATCGGTGTATACGCCCTCCTGCCTTGCGCAAGAAGGCATATACACCGATCCTGGGCCCAGGGTGATCCTGGGCCAGGATCGGCGTTGGTGTATAGTTGGTGCCCTCCGAAAGGAAGCCGTCGAGGACAAGGAGCCAGGCACCGAATGCGACAATTTCGGTCCCAAGAAGGCTCTTCGGATCAAAGTGAAAGTGCGGGACACCGTCCACGACCGCAACAAGTTAGGCGAGCAAGTGACTGTCAGGGAGCGCGAGGCCGAACAGAAGAAGCCCTCGAAGACCGCCGTTGCCAGCATGAAGCGCTCATTGACGAATTCGCACTCGTCGTTCCGTGAGCTCGAGAATCTCGTTGACAAGGAGGCCGTGGAAGAGAGGCAGAAAGAACACAGGTCCTCCTTAGCATCCGCCTTCACCCCGTTGAACCTGGGCACCTTCTCATCAAAGCAGTCTGCGACAGCGGCAGGCTCAGTTGCAGACATCATCGCCAGCATTCGCCAGCAGCAGTCGGAGTCGGACGCCGATCTGCTGGAGGTTGAGTCCACAGCTGGTTCTGTCGACTCGGGCGCCGGCGCCGGCGGAGGAGGCGATGGCAATGATAAGAAAAGGAGGCGCTGGGATCGCGACACGCAGACCCTCAAGGCAGAAACGAAGCACCTGGAGACGGTCGAGAAAGTGAGGCAGTTGGCTGACAAGACCTTGTCTGAGGTTGTGGATGTGGAGAAGAAGATGATCAATCAGGTCGAGGACGCGGAATACTTCAAGAAGCACTTGGAGATCTTGCAGCTGCGCAAGGAAGCTCTGGTTGCCTTTTCGCAAACTTGTAACCTGAAGGCGTACCAAGCCTTGGTGAAGTCGCATACTAGGAAATCACCGTGCCCGGACTTTCTCAGCATCATCTCTATCGAGGAGTTCAAGGACAAGCAGACGGAGTTCTCGGCCGCAACTTGCGCTGAGGAGTTGAAGACGTTCGAGAACATGTGCAAAGCAGAGCTGGTCAAGATGAATCAGCTCATCGGCGCCAACAAAGCCATCGTCAAAGATGCACAGACCTTGCTCAAGTCCCGCGCCAAGCAGCTGCAGACCATCCAAGAGAACAAGACGAAGGCCGCCGCCGCCAAGTCCGCAGCTGCGGCCGTCATGGGGCCACCCTTGCCCAAGAAGGCCAAGATCAACACCACTGGCGACATTCTGAACTTCGAGCACGGCGAGGATCAGCAGATGAACGCCTACAGCTTCGAGGCGACCAACTGCAGCAATCCGAGCCTGTTGGACGCAATGGGGCAATCACGCTTCCACCTCCCTCCTTCCTGGCTTTGGAAAATCATTTCGAGGTCTGCTTTGAGGTTCGAATCGAACGAAATCCACTTTTCGATGAGGTCAGGTTTCGGGAGGAAGGCCTTTGCTTTTTGGTTTTGTGTGGTCCCATCGTCGGAGTCAGCTTGAAAAGGCCACGAGTCGACCATGAAGGCCTTCTCGCATCATACCTCCCCTCTCGCTCATCATCTTTCTGTATTCCCGCAGTCCTTACAGGAGCCTTTCGTGGTGACTGGCTGCGGCAGCCAGGTGGACGCAGCGGTACCGGAGGCGACGCTGAAAGCTTTCCAACAGAAGTTTCTCAACAGCCCACAACGAACCAGCTCAGGGCGCGCGACTGCGCCGATGAAGGACCCTACGGATCAGCAGCGCGCAATGACAGCTGTGCTTGGATGCTTCCCCGATGAACTCAAGAAGTACTTGTACAACCCTGACACCTTCAAGAAAGACCACCCTGAAGTGTTCAAGCTCCTCGTTCCAGCCTTGTCAGCAAGTGCCGCCGACGCCCAGTATGCTGGCACTGAGAACTGTTTCATGCCGAAGTTGCGCCTGACCCTCAAAGGCATCGCCAACGTCGTGATGGTGCGCGCAGACAACTACGTAGCGTGGTCTGGTAAGAACATCAGCGAGGCTGCGGCTTCGGACTCCAAGGGCATCACCCTCGAGGCTTGTTTCAAGAAGATTGCCGCGATGACGAGTGCTGAGATTGCTGACTTCATCAGGGAGCACCCCGGTTCCATCAAGCAGGCGACGGTCGCGAAGGGAGACTTCGCTTACACGCCCACTGGATGGATCCTGATGGAGCACACGAAGCCTGTGGACGATATGGCGTGCGTGAAGATGTCGATCCTTCACTTCTTCGACGGCGACAGCATCAACTTCGCGAGCAAGTCTATGGAGCTGCTGGTCAGCAGCCTAGATGGCTTGAACAAAAACGTGGCTTTGGTGAAGGAGGTGTTTGAGATCATCAAGAAGAACCCCGACCCCAATGAGAAGAAAGATGATGACACGGCTGGGAAGTGATGCATCAGTTCTGAAAAAAGCTGGCACTGTCAGTTTTCAAGATCGGTCCCCTCCCTGCACGAGGGTTCGAAGCTAGAGAGAATACAACAAACAAAGCCAACAAACACAGGCACACAAAACATGAACACATAGCGACCGACTTGCATACTTCCCCGTGCGATGCTGCATAGCTGCTGGCCGTCTAGAGTCTGGTGTTGACTCATCGTTTCGGAGGCTGCTCTGTTGTGCATCCTTCCCATGCCATGGCAACGAAAGAAATCAACTTAGGCTTCTGAGTCTGACCTCCGTCGACGACAGCATCGACGACGTCGACGGCGACTTCGACGACGACGATCGATGATGACTACGACGACGATCCATGACTCTCGACAACACCGATCGACGTCGACGATTCTGACGACGACGACGATAGACATCGACGTCGACGATTCTGACGACGACGATGGACATCAACGACGACGACGTCACAACGACAACGGAAACTTCGGGACGAAGACGGTGGCCCCGACGACATCGACAGCGGCGACGACGATGATTCGACGATGGAGACGACAACAACGACGGCTAGAACGACGGTGACGACAACGGCGCGGCCCGGCCGGCTGCTCTGGACGGCCAGCTCGCCACTTTGCCACTGGGCTGGAGGGCGTCGCCGTCGATGCCATGACATGGCAAAGGTTTCGGGTTTGGGGGACTCCAGTGGTCCTGTTACTTGGTTTTCAGGGTACCCAGGCCGCGCTGTGGCTCGACTGTCACTTCCTGTTTCGGGGATTCCATCGGTACCGATTTGGGGGTCCCTCACTCCTCACTCCTCCCCCATCCTCCCCTCGCTCCTCCTTCCTTCATGCTCGCTCCTCCCTCCTGGCTGAGAGAAGTTCACAGGTGCAGGGCCGCGAGGTCAGATCAAGCTATTTCCAGTGTGAATTCGGACCGACCTGATGCATTCCGCTGATATTGCCTGTTTCCTGTTGCTCCAGCGCGATCCTGCCCCGTGCCCGCCTGTACGGCCCCCTGGCCCTGCACCTGTGAAACTCCCTAGAGCCGGGCGGTTTGGAAGACGGCGACGCGAGATGGGGCGTGCCAAAGGACAAATCGGAGGACGAGGAGGAGAAGGAGGAGGAGGAGGTTGAGGAGCTTGAACTGGAAGCCAGAGCTGGGGCTAGAGCCAAAGGAGGAGATGGAGGAGCTGGAGGAGGAGACCTTCCCCACTCGTGCTCCCAGTCCTCCCTGCCCTACTCTGCCCCCCAACTTCGCACGCACGCAAAGTGAGGTTCCCTGCCTGTTTGCCTTCCCCTCTTCCTCCTCGTCACGAGCGCGCAGGGAGTGGAGCAGTAGGGCATCCAGGAGGAGCGGCAGCAACACCAGGACAAGGAGGAGGAGGAGGAGGAGGAGGAGGAGGAGGAGGTAGCTCAGAGACCGCCCCGAGCCATCGTACAGAACGATTGGGCGACGCAGCAAGTAGAAGCGGCCCTCCTAGGAGCAGAGGGAAGAGGATAAACAGTAGCAGCAGCAGCAGCAGCAGCAGCAGAAGGGGGAAGGTACGTGTTCTGAGAATGGCGGAGGTTTGGGAGGGTTCCTGAGGGCTCCAGGGTTGGGGTGTTTTAGGAAAGGGAGGAGGAGCAGGAGCAGGAGGAGGACGAGGAGGAGGAGGAAGAGGAGGAGGAGGAGGAGGAGAAGAGGAAACGGAAGAGGAGGAGGAGGAGGAAGAGGAGGAGAAGGAGGAGGAGGAGGAGGAGGAGGGCATGGGGAGGGAGAAGGAGAGATGCCCCTTGCACGCTCCGCTCGCCGGAGGAGGGATGCAGGGGGAGTGCAGCGCCGAGACGAGAGATCCGCGTGGACCTCCGAAAGTGTTGCCTGTGCAATCTCTGGCTTCTCCGCCCTGGCGGCCCCCTCGGGGTCCACCTTGGGGCCATCTTGGGCCGCCTCGGGGCGCGCCGACCCAGACATCTGGCTGATCCAGTTTTTCCGATGCGTGGGCCCCAGAGGTCTGGAACACCTCCCTGGGGCCTGTTTTGCGTCCTGAGCCGTTGTCTACGGCCCCAAGGCCCGGCGAGGGCCCTTGGCGTCCGAAAACGGCCCAAAACCCGCGGCCCAAATTTTTGGGAGCGTCGGATCGCTGGGCAGGCTCGCCTCCGCCCAGGCCATCTTGGACCATGTTGGACCGCCTTGGTCGGGCTGGACGAAAGGGCAAGGGCGGTTGCGAAATCATGCAGCTGGTTTTGGCCCCGCCGCCGGGCCCATTCATCGATCCATGGGCGCCTCCCGGCGCCAGGAGGCGCCATGAAAACCAGCTGCGTGAGCTGATTCTCTGCCCTGCCCTTTGCTGTCCTACCCTGTCGTCCCCCCCGACTTGGGGCGCGCCGAGCAGGACGCCTACTACGAGACCTTGTTCGACGAGCGCGCGGCGCCGCTGGGCCGGCCCGCGGCAGTCGCGCGGCGCGAGGCGCCAGAGCGCCGGGCCCAGCAGGCTTTCGGCCTGGGCTGCTGCGGGTCTGCCCTGGGCGGCCGCCTTCGGGGGGCCTCTCGAGGCCAGCGCGTTCCTCAAACGTTGCGTTTGAAAGCGCCAGGGGTGTTCACTAGATGTTTTGCCCTGCCAGTTTTGCTAGGTCTCGATCGTGGCTTTCACAGCCAGTAGCTTTTTGGCTCACAAGTAGCGGAGCAGACCCTAGGGCTGGTGCCCAGCACGCAACCGCTAGGCTTCTGAGGCAGAAAAATCATACAGCTTTCTCGTCCATTGTTACGGCCTGGGCTGCTGCGGGTCTGCCCTGGGCGACCGCCTTCAAGGAGGGGCATCTCGAGGCCAGCGCGGTCCACCTCCAGGACCCAGAGATCTGACACTCCAAAAAATCGAAGCGGCGAGTTTTTGGCAGACGCATCGAACAAAATCGGAGCAGCTGGATGTCCAGGGAGCTGTCGGCGCACGGCCCCAGGTCCTTCCCTCACCAGGGTTCAGTTCCCGCGAGAGTTGTTGTCGACCCTCTGGGCAGTAACGAGCGTCATGCCCAGGACGCTCGTCCCTCCCCAGTGCGGCCGCGGCACTGCCGCAGAGCGTCCGGCACCACAGGGGGGCGCGGGCATTGCGTCCCCCCTCGCCTCAGCGGCGAAAGATATACCGATGCAGCTGCCCTGGCCTCGTTTCCCCCTCTCGGGGGCCTCCTGGGTGGCCCCCATCGCTACAGCCGGATTCGCTTCGAAGTTCTGGTCGGAGTGCACCTCGGGAGAGGTCCAGGGAATAGCCGTACCGTTATCCTGTGGTTTCCCCATCACAGGGTCGCGGTTCCCTCCTGTCGGTGGTTCAAAATGGGGCCCTGAGGGATGGGCCCCTACGGACGAGGTGCCTCGAACAGTGCAGATCCAACCTTGGACCCTTTCCTATTGGCTACACGTAAGAGTGGCCTTTCGCCAGAGTGATTGTTGGTGCGAGCACATTGGGGTCCCCAGGCTACGCGATTGCAGCGGCCGTCGCGCTCTCGGGCGTGGCCCCCCCGTGGCACCCGTTTGTTTGGGGTCACTCCGGGGCGCTGGCGCTTCTCCCAGAGGAGTTCCTGAGCGCGGCGCGCCTGCGCGTTGGCGCCCCGGTCTACGTGACCCCTGGCGCGTGCTCCCGGTGCGGCGCGGAGCGGGGCATCGACGGGGCACACGCCGTGTGTTGTGCCCCGGGGGAGTCCACGCGCGGCCACAACAGAGTGCGGGACGAACTCCTGGCGCTGGCCTCCCTGTCCGACGGGGCCGCTCGGTCGGAGGCGCTGGGCCTCATCGAGGCCGCGCCGCTTCTCCGCCCGGCCGACGTGCTCACCACGGCTGCCTTTGGCCGGCTGACGGCGCTCGACGTGGGCATCGTGGCGCCGCACGCGGCCGGGGCCGGCGAGGATGTTGCCGCCGCCTACGTTGTCAGCAAGGTCGGCAAGTACGCGCCGCACCTGCCGGCGCTGGCGGCCGACGGGATCGCCTACCGGCCGCTCGTCTGGACAACGTGGGGCCGCCCGCACGAGGATGCGTCGGCCGCGGTCGCGTCCATGGCGGCCGCAGCGGGGAGGCGCCTGGGCGCGCCCTTGCACGCGCTCGCGGCGCGGGCCCGCACCGCCATCGGCGCCGCGATCTGGCGCCGAGCAGCGCGCATGGTCGGCGCGTGCGGCCCGCGGCTCGCCCGAGGGGATGTCGGTGCCCTCCTGCCGGGGGCCGGGGCCGCCGGTGCAGGTGACGCCGCCGACGCCGCCTCCGACGTCGATCCGCCCGCGGATCCTTCGCCGGCGGCGCCGTCCGACTCCTCCTCGTCCACCTCCTCGCTTGCCCCCTCCTGCCCGGCGTCGCCCGCTTCCTGCCCTGCCCGCCTGTCCCCCGCCCTTGACTTAACCGTTCGGGGGGGCACGGCGGAACCGGCAGGAGGCGAGGCGCTGGCGGGAGCGCTGGCCGGCGTGGCGGGCGAAGCGGACGCTGTCGCCGGCCCGGTTGGCACTGGCGGGCCCGCGGGGCCAGCGGGCCAGGTCGGCGCAGCCCACCTGGGGGTCGGCGCAGCCGCGGGCGTCGCCGAGCTCGTGGCCGCGTTCGAGTCCATCGCGGGCGCGGTCGGCTCTGGGGGAGCCGGCGCGCCTGGCCCTGGCGACGCCGGAGGCGCTGCGGCGGAGGCTGCCGGCGCTGCGGGCTGCAGCGCCGCCGCGGGGGCCGCTGGCGAGCCGACGGGCGGGGGCGCCCGGGGCCCGGCCTGGTTTGCCGGCCTCCGACTGGCGCACGGGCGCGGCCCCCCGGCGTAGCCGCCTCGCTGCCAGGGCGCGGGCGTGGAGGACGAGGGGTATGGAGAGAGGGGCGAGGAGAAAAAAAAATAACATTTGTTTTAACCTAACAGCGAAGACTGATAGGTTCCTAGTGGGGTCAGAAGAGATGATCATGACTCCTCACGGGGGTCGGGGCGGGACCCGGGGCGGGACCCGGCGCGGCTGCCGTCGAAGCTCAAATCGCTTGGGACATCCTCGCAAAATCGGTCTTGGCGCTGCTAGAACTCCATTCCCGGCGTGCATTTTGGATGCCCGGAGCCAACTGTAAGCCTTTTCGTGCTCTTCGACTTCCCAGAACTCCATTCCCGGCGTACATTTTGGATGCCCGGAGCCACCTGTAAGCCGTTTCGTGGTCTTCGAGTTCCCAGAACTCCACTCCCGGGCCACATTTTGGATGCCCGGAGCCAACTGTAGGCCACTTCGTGTTCTTCGAGTTCCCAGAATTCCATTCCCGGGGCACATTTTGAATGCCCGGAGCCAAGTGTAGGCCACTTCGTGGTCTTCAAGCTCCCAGAATTTCATTCCTGGGCATGATTTTGAATGCCCGGAGCCAACTGTAGGCCACCTCGTGTTCTTCTAGTTTTCAAAATCATTCCTGGGCCACAATTTGAATGCTGAGGCAGGCTGATGCTGCGGCCGAGGCAGGCTGAGGCTGAGGCAGGCTGAGGCTGAGGCCGAGGCTGAAGGCAGACTGAGGCTGAGGCTGAAGCAGACTGAGGCTGAGGCTGAGGCAGGCTGAGGCTGAGGCTGAAGCAGGCTGATGCTGAGGCAGGCTGAGGCTGAGGCTGAGGCTGAGGCAGGCTGAGGCTGAGGCCGAGGCTGAAGGAAGACTGCGGCTGAGGCTGGTGCAGGATAGTGTTTTTTATATATAAACAATATCCCGGCAAAGCAACCTAACAGCGATACGTAGAAGCATATCTGAAAACATTCCCCTTAAGATTCAGATAAAAATCCAGTTGTAAAATTATGCTGTTCTCGCAGTCGTAGTCGCATTCGCGATGACAGTCGCAGCGGCAACGGCAGTCGCAGTCACAGCCTCAGCCTCAGCCTGCCTCAGCCTCAGCCTCAGCCTGCCTCAGCCTCAGCCTGCCTCAGCCTCAGCCTCAGCCTGCTTCAGCCTCAGCCTCAGTCTGCCTTCAGCCTCGGCCTCAGCCTCAGCCTGCCTCAGCCTCAGCCTGCATCAGCCTCAGCCTCAGCCTCAGCCTGCCTCAGCATCAGCCTGCCTCAGCCTCAGCCTCAGCCTCAGCCTCAGCTGCTCAGCCTCAGCCTCAGTCTGCCTTCAGCCTCGGCCTCAGCCTCAGCCTGCCTCAGCCTCAGCCTGCCTCGGCCGCAGCATCAGCCTGCGTCAGCATTCAAAATGTGGCCCAGGAGTGGAGTTCTGGGAACTAGAAGAACACGAAGTGGCTTACAGTTGGCTCTGGGCATTCAAAATCATACCCAGGAATGAAGTTCCGGGAGCTTGAAGAGCACCAGGTGGCCTACAGTTGGCTCCGGGCATCCAAAATGTGGCCCGGGAGTGGAGTTTTGGGAAATCGAAGAGCACGAGGTGGCTTACAGTTAGCTCTGGGCATCCAGAATGTGGCCCGGGAGTGGAGTTCTGGGAACTCGAAGAGCACGAAGTGGCCTACAGCTGGTTCCGGCCACTCAAAATGTAGCCCGAGAATGGAGTTCTGGGAGGTCGAAGAGCACGAAGTGTGTGACTGTTGGCGAAAGCGAGCCCGGCTCTGTTCCCGGTTCTCCAGACAGTGGCCCGGGAATTGGGTTCTGGGAGGTCGAAGAGCACGAAGTGTGTGACTGTTTGCAAAAAGCGAACCCGGCTCTGTTCCCGGTTCTCCAGAATGTGGCCCGGGAGTGGAGTTCTGGGAGGTCGAAGAGCACGAAGTGTGTGTGTGTGTGTGTGTGTGACTATTGGCGAAAAACGATTCCCGGTTCTCCTCCCCGGCACCCGCCCAGACCCCCCTGAGGAGTCATGATGCTTTCTTTTGACCCTACTAGAAACCTATCAGCAAACGCTGTTAGGTAAAAAACCCTAGGGCCCCATCCCTGAGGGCCCGATCTTTGAATCGCCGCTAGTGGAGCAAGGGAGCTTGTCCGCCGCTCCACTGGCCGGCCCGCGGGCGCGGCTTGCGCCCGGGCCGCCCGATGGCGAGCTCGGAGAGGCCGCACGGGCCCCGGGGCCAGCGTGGCAGAGGCTCGTGCGCCCGAGGGACGCCGTCGGCCCCATCGGCCCCACCTTGTCGTCGTCCTCCTGGTTCCCGCCTCGGGCTCACCCACAGTTCCTCGCTCCTCCCTGCTCCTCCTCCTCCCCCTCCTCCACATCCTTTGACGCTCGTGCGCCCGAGGGAAGCCGTCGGCCCGATCGGCCCCACCCCCAACTTTTCGTCGCCGCTGGCTTGTATTAGTCCCTAAACCAGGTCTGCCAGAGCATGTGTTCTTCAGGTGATGGCAGTTCCGATGGGGCGGGGGGGGCGTCCCCAGTACACATCACAGTACCTCGCTCCTCCTTGCTTGACTTCCTCCTCCCCCTCCTGCGACACTGCGGGCAAAGCGGTTCTTATCCGCCGCAGCCCGCGCCGCGCGCGCGCGCCCGAGCGCGCGGCGCGACGCATGACCCCCTACCTCTGAGATCCTCTGGAGGGGCCTCTAAAAGCCTCTGAAAGGAACACGCAACCCCGAAGG